TGTATCTCTAGTTAGAAATTACCGAACCAGATGACTATCAAAATATTTGGCCAACTACCAAATTTTAATTGTTTTCGTTGAACTGTTTAAATTAAGAATCATCGATTCTTCTTGAAACGTAAAGGTTCCTCGACCGCGAGAGTCATTCTCACGCGCGTTATTTGCTCTGAAATTATTCGAGGATCATTCGTTCTCGGAAAAGAAACGTGCGAAACGGAAGCAAATCAAAGTGCCTTTGTTCGCCTTTGTTCGATCGAAGAAATTCTTGCACGACATTCACGCGGCCGCGTAACAGCCGACGTTGATTTGAATCTCGAAATCGAACGATTCCGGATCGACTGTCACATATTAATGATCACGTCGTTTTGCAATACGATTTCATCGAATCGTCAAAGGCATCGATTTCAGCGAGGTACAGCGTCGTTATAGCGACGGCGAATCGTCTTCCGTGGCATATCTACGGAATCACTTGGAATCCAATCATGGATAAACGGATTACGTTAACCCTGCGCGCTGTATCTTTGTTTACATAGCAGTATCGCGAACCGGAACATCATGCAAAATTGTCATCCTAGTGACAAGCCAGTTCTTCTCCTCTTCGCTGCCAGAGCATCGACCAGCACTGGTTGTTCGTTCGTGCGTCTAGAATTAGGACAGCCTGAATTTCCAGGGAATTTTAATTAACGGATAATCTTGCTCCCAGGCATTTTCAGAATATTAACTCGAACGTACATTATACACGGTTAAATTACGCGTCTCCAATAGACAGCATGCGCACACGTGCGACGCGCGCTGGTATGCACGTGTGTGTGTATTCGCCTTGCAGACCAAAAGCATCATTCTTATATTCAGTTTCTTTCGTTTTATGCAACAGACAGACCCGTCACTGTCAGACCCCGTCGAACAAAATGAAAGAAGCGAAGGTACACGAGTATCGCATACGAAATGAAAATTCGTGCGGGATCGTTCAGACTTTGTCGTTTCGTTTCGTTATCTCGTCAACGAAATGTTCGTCGCGACGACGACGATAAACAATGCACGAGCGATAAAAGAATGAGCTGAAACCGTGTCTTGCGAAAGGAATGAGTGGACCACCACCACTCGGAGAGAGAAGATGGCGAAATGAGGAAGCTGTGTGACGGATGGCGTGAAAGGTGTAAAAGCACAGCTCATGCATCATTTATAAGGGTAGAAACCAAGGGGATGTCGCGTCGTGAGTAATCGAGTAATGATACGTCGAAGGATAGGAAAAGAGACCAAAGGGGTTAGAGGGGAGGGGGAGGGGGGGGGAAGGGGGAAGGGATCAAGAGGAAATGACGAAGGTTCAATCATGCACACTTGCACACGCCAGTGGCCACTCGTCCTAGAGCGGAGGAACTCCGCTCCCGTAATTAATTCCACATCCGAGTACGTTTTCTTCCTACAGTCGTTGTCATTCTTTCCAACGGTGACTATCCGTCGCTGAAATTTCTCCATACTTAATAGCCACAGCGTTTCAGATAGAATACTTGACAAAATATTTGCAAACTTATCAAGACGAAACACGCATGTACATAGGTACGAAAGGTTTTAAAGAAAGAGTGATTTGTCGATTTGGAAACTAAACTAAAGCATTAGTATAACGTATTCGGATATGGTACAATATCAAGGGAAATCAAATTTTTCGTTTGGTTACCGTGTCGTAAAATGAAAACTCGATAGACAGAGTATAGCGAGCTTGTGTGACTTGTGTATTAATTTTAATTTTACAATGGCACGTGTTTTATTAGTTATAATAACTGAAACACTACAATTTGAACTTTTTATTTTACATATCAAGATTACACGTGAAATGGGAAATGTTGGGGAAAAAATGCATAACGTAATCTTAGATTGTTTGCAGATGCGCAATTGCCTTCTCACTTTGAGAGACTCTGCAATCCTAATTAACACTGAATTGAATATTCACGACCTTTTTCAACTAACCGTCGTAACAAGGTCCGTCTTTCCATGATAAATTAAAGTGGGTTCATAGAGTCTCTGCAGGTGGTAATGTTCTCAACAGCATGTCATGTTCTTCCCCAACTTCCGTTTCCCCCGTATCTCTCGTTGCAACCGCTTTGATTAAACGCGCGCTTGAAATTTTCGCCGTAAATTTTTTCATTTCGTTATCCTCTACATCTTTTACATCCTTTACATCCTTTACATTCCGTTTCTGTTTTTCGTCCAACTTTCAACCTATCAAAAAGAGGAAACGATTTTTGTAGAAAAAGAATTTATTTTGAAACGGGTTCTATTGAAAATAATATGTAATAAATTAGAAATTGCAACTATTTAAGAACGTCATTTAAATTCCTGGCTAGTTTTCTTAACTTGACATTGCATTATTCACTTCCTTGCGAATCGCTTTCAGAACAGTCGATCAATCGCCAAGAACCACAGACAAATTTCTAGCAAAGAGATTACACACGCGGCTCGCGTAATTTCGCGTAATAACTTTCTTACTGCGGGACGAAACGTGACGAACTTATGCGAAGAATTTGTTCCACGTGTTGTCGTAGAGTATGTGGCCCCCTTTATATCGAACTAATGAATTTACGAGGCTCCTTCCTCGCCGTACCAACTTACTAACGCAAAGTTTTCATCGTAGTGTCACAAGGTGCTGGAGATTAAAAGTTGGAGAGAATGCGACAAATATTTCTCGTCGTTACTTTCCGATATTAATTCGTTCAAAAACGCTCGATACGCATTTCGTCTCGTTTTTTTCTTTCTTTCTTTCTTTCTTTCTTTTTTTTTTTTACTATTTTATGGATTTTAGAATTTATAGAACACGTAGGTCATAACGTTGAAAAAGATCAAACGTTCCGTGTTTCGAAGCCGCGTCAAACACGTTGGACAAAAATGAGGAACATTACTCGAAAACTTTATTAATTTTAGATACCATTTATTTGAGGATTATAAATTAATGGACGTTTTGAACGACCAGCGAATCGATTCGACAAATCAGGCAACGTCAGATCGAAAATTTCTGAAATCGCTGGATATTTCCATTCTTAGGCTTTCGTGAAGACTTGTATCCAATGATTATATTTTACGTGCAAAGATTTAGCTCGATAATTTTATGAGAATTTTTATTTTATGATTTATCGTTTATACGTAGAGGTATAAACTACATATTACTCTATTTCGGTAGAAACAAGTGCCAGTCTCATCGATACACATAAATTTAAATTTTAAGAACTTTTGAATTTTTCGATCGAGACTCGTTGAGATGTTTTTCCTTATGTTTGCCACCACCATCCAAGATTGCAAGTCGTTGTTTTTGCCATGGCGCAAACGTATTCACATGTGATCTAGAATGCAATCAGTTGGATGACGAGTAAATTTTCTACCATGTACTGTCATCGACTTGCCCCAAAGGCGAACCGGATGACTGGTTCAGCACGCTTTTCAAATTTTCCTGGCAATATATCGGGCGTCGGGATTGCGTGATATTGGCAAAGGAGACTCCGATCGAGACGTGGGAATTGGAAACTTGTCGTTATCGTCACGGCAAAAAAATATCCTTTATTATTTCTATGGAGACTGTACGTTGCGCAGCGGCAGCAATCGTGAGAAAACGTGTCACGGAGGAACGATTTACGTCGATCGCTGAACGGGATCCTAAGGGGAAACACGAACCAGACAGACAGACAGACAGACAGACAGAAAGAGAGAGAGAGAGAGAGAGAGAGAGAGAGGAATCTGTCTCGCTGATTCCCAGCTGAAATCCCAGTCAACAGTCATCATTGTTTAGGCAGCCTGCCGTTTTTTCCTCACGGTGATATTAAAATCTTCCACGTGCTCGACAGTTCACGGAGGCATAAGTCTTGGTTTCAAACGAAAAACGCAGTCAACCACGATGAACACGTTGAGAGGAAACGAGCTATGCTCGTCTCTCGTCGTATACTGTCGTCTAACATGATTGCGTCTGTCTCGGCACACAACGTTTCGCATATAGAGCTACAAACTACAAACGACGAATCGAACAGCGAATACGCGTAGAGAGATCGCATTGGCATTCGACGTTCGGTATTCGGTACTCGGTATTCGCTGATACTCGTACTACGACTCCGTGGCTTCCACCTATGTCAACGTGTATCTATGCATTTGCGTTCACGTCGCGAAACAATACCCTCTCCAGTTCAATTCGTCCGTTTTCCGGTATCCCTTATCTCTCCCTTTCTCTCCTCGTCGATTTTTCTTTCTTTCTTTCTTTCACTTCTTCGACCACTGCTCCGACTCTTTTCGCCTCCGACTATTCACGCCCTTTCCCTCCTTCGTCGTTATTGTTTCTCCTTTACTTTCTTTGCACGAACGTTCTATTTTCTCTTCCTCTTCTCTTTCACTCTCTCCTTACTCGCCTCTATTTGCAATATCTCCGCGATTATTCCGACTCTGGCCCAGTTTTCCTCCCTCCTCTTTCTCGCTCCTTATTTCTTCAGACAGTCTTTCGATACTTTTTTTCAAGCTCTTCAACGTAGTTTCAACCTGGAAACCTCTGGTTTCGTTTTCTTCCTCCTTCCCCTCCACCTTTCTTCCTCTCTTTCTCTCTGCTTCTGTTATCTTCTTCTTGTGAAGTATAACGTCTTCATTTAGTGTAGGGTCAGGTTCGGGAAGAACAGCAAGGTTAATTGCGAGTAATTTTTCGATGAGCACAGATCGAATGAAACGAGGTTGGTACGACGAGCAGCGACGCGTTTTGATTCGAAAAATTAAATCATTCGTCTCAACGACGAGACGGCCAGGCAACGATCATATTATAAAGAATTTCCTACGTATCCTACGAGTTACATCTATTTGTATTTACGTAAAGTTCGAAACATACAATATTTTAGGTTCAAGTCGAGTATAATCGATCATCTACGATCGTCTACTACGTCCATCAACATCTTTTGTTTCTTTCCTGAAAACATAGTTCACACGGTGAATGTCCAATGTCCAATCAACAACTCGTTTTTTTGTTTGCTTTGCTTTTGCAGATTTCCACGTTAGTGTCGCACAGAGAACGTCCGCTATGTTCGGACAGAAGTCTCCGTGCGGTTGCCAGAGTCGGGCAAGCCGTGAACCTGGCAGTAGAGAGGTTCGTCACCGTTGGCGAAACTATCGCCGATGGGAATCCAGAGATCAGGGAAGACATGTACCAGGCGTGCAAGAGGGCAAGAGATGCTGGTAAGTCGTCCGCTCGAATCTGTCTCTAGACCATTGTTCTCGAGATAAAAGATCTGCCAGAGTTGGTGGAAACCTTGGTTATATCGGTATCTCGATTATCGTAGTGAAATATAGGCGTTACACATATAGGCGTTGCACATATATAACGAATCAGCTTCGTCAGAAACTCAGAGTCCGTAACGTAAGCTTCCTGGCGATATCTGTTACTTATCGCGTACTCTATAAATTGCAGGTCCAAGGAAGACCGACACGGCGACATTCAATATTTTTTGCAAAGTGCAATTTTTAAGTTAAAGAGAAGATAGAATACGAACGCGACGCGAAAGATGTACCTACCTTAATTTCTTTCGTTCGTTGTCAAAGATGATCCACTCACGCATAAATACGTACGTAAGTAAGTGGTGGCTAAATCAAGAAAATATTTATATCGTCTACAAACAGACGATTCGTGATATTAATATTCGCGCGGTTGCACGGTTAGCAGCCAGTCGTCGGGAAGTCGTCGTGAAAACTCGTTAAGCAAATAGAAGGAAATAGCGTTGTAAAAAAGCCGTGCAAAGATTCTAAAGCCGGTGCAATGTACAAAGACGTTTATCACGAGTTGTCGCGTCTGAAAGCTGAAAGGATATCTCTCGGCAGACATTCATGCTCGCGTTGATGTTCAGAGAGAGAGAGAGAGAGAGAGAGAGAGAGAGAGAGAGAGAGAGAGAGAGAGAGGCAGTCATTGTTACTGCCAACGAGTTTTAGTTTCCAGCTTGACTCGGGTTTGTTTTGCTCTCTTGACAGTTCCCCGGTTGCTCGTATCGATATATATATATTCGCTCTACTCGTTGTTCGCAAATGAAACTGAAATCGCTGATAAAACCTTTAAAACCAATGAAGAGAAATGGATCTCGATGCGAGAAATGGAAAACGAGGGAGACGTATCTGGGTTTAAAAAATTCGTGGTTGAAGCTACGGTTGTACGCTCGTGCGACATCGTGCAAAATTCAAATAAAATATGGACTTTCGTATTTCGCGAAAAATGCGAGAGAACAGGGAACATTTGCCACGTTGAATGTTTCCCCGTGTAACGTTGAACAAATTCATCAGAGTTACATCGTGTACTTGGTTACATTTTGAATAGTTACACTTGACGCGTCGTACAAGTACTCGTGTGTCACGTGCACACGTGATACTCGTATAAATAAATCAGGCAATAAATTCTCGCGACGTTAGGTCACTTTCTTGCATTCTTTCAGAATGGTTGCTAAAACATTCTCTCGAATGTCTCGCGAGTAGAAGAGCGGGTGACCCGTACACGCGATAACGATTCATATTGCTCGAAAGCATCCTTCAAAGCACGCTTGAAAGATTTTTCGCTCTCTCTCTCGTGTTGTAACAGCGTTAAAATGATATTTTTCCCAAATGAAAGTTGGTCAGAGAAAAATTGCCAACAAATCGTTAACACACCAAATTTTCTAGAAGGTTAGCGACAGTGCATATAGAGTATAGGGTATTATGGCGATAACCACTTTACAGAATACCCGTAAAGGACATTGATCGGTATAACAAAGAAAAGAACATTATATTTGCAATCTCATCGCACCGGCATTGCATTGGCCAGGGAAGAAGAGATTCTGAGAAAAATCATCGTGTTATTTAACATTATCCCAGATGGTGCTTCTCGATGGTATCTTACGTCCTATAGAATCCAAAAGTTTTCCTTCCAAGGTACTTTTCAAGAGACACTCGAAGCAAACAACTCACTTTACTCTGACCTACATATGTACATACGTACATACGTACGTACGTACGTATCTGCGCTCGTTCGTATTACATTATTACATCCATTACACGATTGTTTTCATTCTCCATAAACATTGGTTCCAAGATTGTTTTCCATCGAAATGTTATATCGCAACGGTGTAAATTAAAAACTGTGCTCTGAAATTGAAATGCGTACACCTGCATAGTTCGGGAATTCTAGTTAGCGGAAATTACAGGTTATTCTATTTGTTAAATTATTAAACGAGATTCGTAGAAAATTCGATTGGACCAATCGATCGGAAAATACGTGCTCGATAAAGCCTGCAATAGCAAGGATAGACCATGATTAATTGCTAATTGGGACTCTAATAGGAACGTCGACTAGTCTGCGCGTAGATCCACCGGAAATTGTGGCGATTTCGTCAGCAAGGACGACTGTGTTCGCGATGGACAATTATTTACAGACTCGAAAATTTAACTTTGGCCACGTGTGTCTGTGATCTACAGATGCAAAATAAATGTGTGTCTTGTCTATATATATATAAAAGTATGTATATATTTACGAGCGACATCGCACACAGGGAAGAACAACTTTTATCCGGAGCCAATTAAATTTCCTTTAAATTTAGATAGCCTAAATTGCCAACAGAGAATTCTCTCTTTTCCAGTCGAACGTATAAATTTCACCGTTACACCGTTATTCCTTACTCTTCGTCTGATTTCGAAGCGCTTTCGCAATCGATACCGACGATAAAGCACACCTTTTATTCCCCATTATCTGAAACGAAGAAATCGTTGCAATTCTCCAACCTCGAGGATTTTTCTTACACACGCAGGGCATAATTTCGACATGATTTTCTTGGCTTTTTCGATCGGAATTAAAAGAATATAGAATTTCCTGAAGCACTAAATCCTGAAATTTTAGGAAAATCCTCTTTGAAATTTTGCTCGCTCTCGTTACACGATTATCGTTAAGCTCGTTCAGCCGTCTCGAGAGTCTAAGATCCAACGTGGGGCAGTGAAGCAGAGGATATGTACATATATAAAACTGAAAAAAACAAAAAGAAGACGGAAAATTTTCCTATCGGGCCATCTGGAATCGAATTGCGGTATCTAGTATTTCTAGAGAAAGGGACGTATAAGCGAGCGTCAAGGCAGTTTAACCTTCAGTCGCAGTCTTTGCCATGGAACAGAGCCGTTTCAAATGTTTCCCAGTCTTGGAAAGTGCTTTGCGGACAAAGATGAGCCCGGGAAAAAGTGGAAGGCAAGTAAGGCAGAGCAATGCAACGCGGCTCGATATAGTGGCGAAATGCCAACAGATATATCCTCGTGAATAGCGTGCATAATAGTGTGTTCCGAATAAAGCAATTTTGCAATGTCTTCCTGGTATTGCGCTGCTAAAGACGAGAGAAACAGACGATCGGTTTTGTCGTTCGATCTTGCATTTTAACTTGCGTTAGAGAGAGAGAGAGAGAGAGAGAGAGAGAGACAGAGATGACGCCGAGTTTCGCTTTCTGTCCCAATTTCCTGTTCTCTCTAACGATATTTTCAATCGTCTCGACCTCCTTTAGCCCAATTTGATGGATTTGCCTGCACGAGTGACGGGCAGCGACGAATCGTGAAATCGAAGGGACCGCTTTCCGTAGGTATCGTCGTGCGAGACCGATTTCTTCGGCAAGTCAACGTTTCCGTTTTATTTTCCGGCGGGTAGATAATCGTCGGTATTCCATTTCGTCGCGCAAACACCGCAAACCAAGGTTCGAGAAGCGATGGAAAAGCATATCGCGTGTGTATGTATTTGCCAGTGTCCAATTTTTGCCTTTCTGTCGGAGGAAGCGGCTGCTGTGTCGTCGTCCACTAATAACCTGCATCGATCAACGGCGAACGATAACTTCTTTCACAGTCTGTGTACCCTTACGATAGACGGCACTCTGCTATTTTTATCCCGACTACCTTTTTAAGATCGGGTCAAGTCAACGTGCAAAACATTTATTAACCCTTGAGGCGTTTTCAAACCAACAACCAGGCCGAGTGCATCGTTTCCCTCATGTTACGTCACATACGATGCGATACGGACGTTGCATGCGTATTTATTCGAACAATTTCGTTTGTTGGTTCGAAATTACAAGAAATTGGCACAACAGACATTACGCGTGCAAGTACACGGATAAATTTGATACCTGTGTGCATTCGTCCCGTATGCGGGATCAATCTTGGCCGACTTGAATCATTTAATATCTGTGCCACGTGTCTGCCGCGTACTCCATTGGCAATGCATTTCGTATTGCAACACATGTGACGCACGTTCCCAAAGGATTAATCAGGCAGCCGGAAGAGGGACGTTAGCGTATTTCACTGTGCGATGAAAGCCCATATTCCGTGTACGTTCGACAGATCTGCGGCTTAATAATCCCACGTACATGAGTCGATTACGGAGACTACCTTTTCGATGCGATATACATACGCGGCACCTCGTCTACTTACATCGACGTCAATTTCATTTCGATTAAACTCGTACGCGATAATAATAACAATTCGTCGCGAGATGCGCGATTTGTTCGACTCGTTTGTAACGCGAAAGGACGTTAACCACGCGTTCGTATTCCCCTGTCAAACGCAGCACAGCAATTGCCTCGATAAATGGTAAATGGTAAACTTAAACTTCTTACAAGTGCAAATAATCGAACGTTGTCGGCAATTTACTACTCGCGGTTACGCAAATAGTTTGTAGGATAGAGTGGTTTTCAACATTGTCAGGGTCTGTTAGATTTATCGCTATCGATATATCTAGAAATGGACTATGGATATTCGTTGATTTATCTACGTCTATTGTCACGACAAAGGATCAATGGAACGAATCTACCAATCGGTGGACTGGGATGTACGCAATGCGCGCGTATACGTGTATGTCGCGATATAGCGCGACGGTGCACGCCGCCATGTCTGTAATTCCGTGCTCTCAAATTTACATGAGACGATCGCCCAATTTCGTTATTTGTGTATCGCTGTTATATCAACGTTATGCTGCTGTCTACATTTGAGTGAAAAAATTATTTCCAACAGATCCACGCGATCAAACTCCGCATACCCGATGGAATACAATTGTATTTCTGTGCAAATCCAAATACAGATCGCTACAAAGCTCGTTTCTACGAAAATTTACTTTTCCCACAAGCACCTCGATCCTACAACCTTCGTTTGCTCTCGATCTCTTTCTTTGATTTAGATCATTTCTGTCAATTTCATCTGATCTGATTGTTCTGTATGTTCGTACGTGATTTACGTTTTTACAAAATAACGATTCTTCGCTTTGGATTCCTCCTCGTCTAATCCGGCAACCTGCAATTCTCGCATAGTATCGAGATACCAATATTTTCGATATTATATTCTTTTGTTTGAGATATTACCGACATATGCCAATATCATCGCATATCGATAAAGTCAGACTAGAAGGTATACGCATGAAAAAAAAAAAAAAAAAAACTTTGAATACAACAATATATTTCCAACTGCGTACGACGATTGCCGCATCGAAATTCGTTGAAACTTAAAATCGAGGTCTAATCGCACGAAGAGTGGAACGAAGTATACTTGAGTAAAAAGTGCATAGGGCAACCTGGCTGTTGTAGACACTCCAAAGTGTTGAAACATCAGCTGCGACACGGTAGCTTTCCCTTTCGTCGAACAATGTGCCCATTCACGGGATGCGATAGAAAAAATAATGGCAACGACGTTGAATCGGTAATAATGCGATACACTTGTGTGATTGTTAAATTGGGTCAAGGGAGATTGCATGGCGTACTTGATTCTCCATCTGCATAAAGCGTCGTAAGGTTTCTCTATCAAGGCAGCTGAACTGATTACGTTACGCCAAGTTATCTCTTTCAGGTTACTATCAGAGTACGTGCAATGGAACATTTCGCACGACGAATCGTCAAATATTTTCCTATTAACGTCACTCCAAACGCCAATCAAATGGATACGTAACGAGACAAAAAAAAAAAAGTGCAACGAAACAATATATATATATATATATATATATATATATATATTACGTACATATAATATATACATGTATTATACTACGTATTGTCGCGATATTTTCCGACCAAACTTTTTGTATCATGCACTTGTGAACATCGGTCGTTCAAAGCTTTATTAAGTAGTTGATTTGCACGCGATTTAAAATCCTGGAAATTAACGCCGCGTCGCGTTTTAAATCCCATTTTAAATCATCCTTGTAAATTTCATTCGATGTTGTCGGCAATTTGTTACTCATTTTTATCGCAATCGATTGTACAATTGGAAATTATTCAATTAAATCCACTTTTGAAATGCACTCGAAATCTCCTCGTCGACCGTTGGTTTTCCGCTTTCATTTTTTTTTAATTCGTAGATTATTCGTTATCAACGAATAACGATCGATATATCGACGCGTACGATTCCCACGTACACACGTACGTATATAACCTACATCTTTTTTTATGAGGAGCCAATACGTAATTTCGTTAGTCTTTTTTTTTTTTATCGGTTTTAACTCGAGGTAAGCGAGTGACGTATTAAAATTTAAGAAATCCCAAATGTGAAATATCAAATTTTTAAATCTCTGCAATCGAAAAGGACGAAATTCTGAGAAATTAAATTTAATTTAAAGGATGAACTTTCGAAAATTTCCGTGGATAAAAATCTCATCGTAGAGAGGAAACAAGAAGGTATCTAGTTAGATTCAGCGTCGTATCTAGTCGTATCTTCTGCTTGGTTTCTTGCCTGTGCCTGCCTCGCTCTCCAGCGTCTGATAAAATAACCGAGTACAAAAAACACTATCTGCTAACGCTTCGTTGAACACCTTCGTCGTGATTAATCCCGAGAGATCTTTTCACGTGACCGTCGATCGGTAGTCGAATGATGTCGTATGGAAATTCAGATACGAGTCTCTGCCTCTGTCAAAAAGCTGTTTAAAATATGCTTCCGTTTCACGGGAATTTCAAGAAAGCGTATCGTAACACGTCTCTTTAAAAGAGCTTTGCGACAATCTTGGAAACCATAGGAAACTCAAATTTTTAATTAGGTGTGAAAAGCGACTATAGAAGCGACGCCCCGGATGAAAACCGAGGAAATCGATATTCCTCGTCGCGCGTTGTTGAACCCGTTCTATAAGATGATAAATATTCATTGCGCATTGCGTTGGGACCAAAGGAAATTCGATTATCGGCGACAATGATATTGACTGCGACAGCCAAAGCCCTTGTATACATGCGTATTGTATATACAATACTCGGAATGTGCGATACAAGAGATTGACTTGCATACAACATCGTACGCGTACATTTGAAAATATACCTAAACCACGTAACTTCGTACCTGTTTGTCATCGCGTTTGCACGTAACACGAGTAAATATCGAATCGCAGCCTTTCATAACTTAAACTGTCACGCTCACGCTTTTGAAAACAGTTTGAACACATTCGCAATATCATACCTACAACAAACAACGTGTATATATTTAATCTATACACGTAAAAATTTAATATAACCGTGTAGAAATAATTTAATTGCAGGCTCGGCGATCGAGAAATTGTGCGAATGCGCCACCGAGGACAGCCTAGCTGACCGAGGTTCTGTCGTGAGGGCCGCGAGATGCCTTCTTGGTTCTGTCACCAAGGTTCTTCTTTTGGCTGACATCGTCGTGGTGAAGCAACTTCTTCTCGCAAAGAAGAAGGTGGCTCGTAGTCTTGGCCGTCTCGAAAGCGTTTCCAACTTTACCGAATTTGTGAAAGCGTTTAGCCAGTTTGGAGCCGAAATGGTGGAATTGGCACACCTGACGGGCGATCGCCAGGTAAATAATCAACTCGATCTCTAATATATCTCTTTATATATCTTTTTTTGCATATATAAATTTTTATATTTTTTCTCTCTATCTCTCTCTTTCTCGTTCTCCTTCTAATTATTATACCGCATCTGTAATATATCTGTAGGGAGAAACACAGCGTTGCAAAGCATAAATAGGAACGCGTGCAACAGGAATGAATGGACGAAACGTTTCGAAATTTCAGAATGACTTGAAAGACGAGAGACGAAGAGCGCAGATGGCCGCGGCTCGCCAAGTTTTAGAGAGGAGCACTATGATGCTACTCACGTCTAGTAAAACTTGCTTAAGGCATCCGGAATGTCCATCTGCCAGAGAAAACAGAGACACGGTTTTCTGCCAGATGCGAAGGGCCATGGATCTGATACACTACGTGGTCAAAGACGGAGTGTTGGATTGCAGCGAATCGCAGTCTTACTCCAATTCTCAGGTAAACGATTAGTTAATTAATAATAAGTAGGTAATCATAATTTTAGGCAATTTTGGGCCTGACAACCAAATTAGTTTCAATCTCCAATCGATATCTCCAACGCAAATGATTGAAATTGAAATGGAAATCGTATTCAGGTCCATATTAATCTAACTGAATTTGTTCAAGATTTGTTTCAACGTATACATACGTAGAAATGTAGAAACGTAGAGAAATTCGTAAAATCGAACTTGATGCAGATTGGTACAAGCACGGTTTTCCACAAAGATTCGTCGCGTCGCAGTTACAACGTAGAAATTCATGGAATTTTTACGCCATGAAACAATCAATGTTATTTATATACTCCAGTGGCCATAAACACGAATAACTATTACATACGTTTCACGAGGTAGAGAGAAACATTTGCAATGAAATATATGCACGTTCGAAAGTCTGGAATGAATCCAAAGGAGCTTTCGTTTGCCAAGTTCTAACTAACGTTTAGTCTTAGTAATATAGGATGTGGTGTGATGTAAAATTTTCGCGACTTTGATTAACTTTGGCCATCTTAAAAGAAAAGAAAAGAAAAAAAAAGGGAAAGAAAGACAATAATAAATCGTCGAAACAATTGCTGTCTTGGCCAGAAATTTAAACTGGTCCCTCTGGGCTTCTTGCTTCTTTGAACAAACTAACATCAAGTAGACGGGACTTGGCAAACGCACGTTTTATTGTTTCACGCGCGATCGGACATTTCAACGCGGCGACGCGTCGTCATCTCGACGCGACGGATAAACGGAGATCCACTATGATGCGCCAACAGAGCCATCGTGGCATTTACGAAATTTATGAAATGTCTTCGAGCGCTGGATGGATCCGACCTATCGACAGCAATGCAAATTGATATCGTATTACGGATAAGAACACTGCATAGTAAACGACGCGACGCCGAAATACACGCCACGAACGTTGAGGTACATTGTTCGGCACGTGCCAAATTGCAGCCGACGCATTGATTCACCCTATATAATTTCAATTTCTTTATACCAATTATCTGCGGGAAACGAGCCAAATTTCGCCCCTGTTGCAACAATGAATTAAGGAAATTTCATCTCGTCCGATTAACACAGTAAACACAACCACGATGATGAAATTCGGATGCGTTTAGAAAATGAACACGTTCGTTTTCTTTTTTTTTTTTTTTTCGTTTCGTATTTACCTGATTGACGGACATTTGATGAATATTGGACTCGTGCAAGCCTCATCGCTTTCGTACAAGATGGTTCGTGTCGTCGAAAATGTGATAAAATATTCTCGCTTTACCGCGCGTGTAACACGTTGAAACACGCTAACGTGTTTCGAGCGGTTTCCCCACCAAGAAAGTGCATTGTGTCGGTAAGAGAATCGGAGTAGTGGATAGATAAAAGTCTAAAGTACCAGCGAAAGATTTATAACGTCCAGATTGACCGATAATCAAGGAGCTTTGAAGGGAAATGCGGATCGGGGTGCTCGGTCACGTTCAAGGATCTCGTGCAAGTAATTGCTATGCTACGTAGACTGAATGCATAGTTAATCCACGCCATCGGGATATTGCATAGTCGAATGCACTCTGGTTAAGTGCGATCGGTTCAACTGCGCGTATCTATGCTGACCTTAGGGCAAGAATATATTTAGGTATGGCGTGCCATTAAAGCTTCGCACGGTATATGTATATATATGTATATACGTATGTGTATATACGTATGTGTATATGTATATGGGTCGTGTCCTATAGATACATGTGTGAACATGGCAACTATTTGTTGTACATGGATAATTCAAATCGGACGGTACTCTTTTTTTCTCTTTTCTCAAGTTTCTCTTTCCAACAACAGCAACATTCGCGCAAACGTACAAATAGAAAATAAAACGTAAGCGTACTACGCAAATGCTGTGGTAACGATGGAACAAAAATTACACTGGCAGACGATGAAATACCGCTTTCGGATGGCAGCGTATATCGAAAGTTCATTGTTCGAAAGATGGTTAAACGGTGGTTATCATTGAAAAGGTTGCATATTATTTAGAGACGAAAATTGAGTCGCCGATTAATTTCAGAGTCCGCAGCAGGAGGATTGGGACAGCAGCACGGCATTCTCCGCGTTGAAACACTTCGAGAGACTGGTCGAAACCACAAGAATGACTCTTCTTGGACCAGGTTGTCGAGAGACCCTCACCGCCGCGTTGGATACCGTCATTGAAAGAACGCAAGATTTCACTGACAGCGCATACACGAGCCACGAGCACAGAGAGAACATTCTCTTGCTCTGCGATCGAGCACAACTCGAGCTCAACACGCTCCTGCGAATTGGCAACAGTATGGTAAGAATCAGTCTCTCGTCAATAGCTTTCTTTCTTTTCTCAAAATTAAAACGCAATCGGCTTTCGATTCACGATCGACCGTAAGTCGCTTAAACTTTTTTTTCTTTTTTTTTTTTTTTCACTTAATAAGTAAAAGAGAAAAAGATGGCGCCGTCGTGTTCGTGGATAGGAGAGACTACATAATTTCCCCAACTTGTCGTTAGTCTGGGGATAGAGAAATAGCGAAACTATTATTATTATTATTATTATTATTATTATTGATATTGTTGTTAATGGTCGTCGTCAACATTCGTAATTGTCATCGTCGTCGTCGTCGTCTGGTATTAGAATTACGAAGGTGGCGGTGGTTCTCCAAGTTCTGAAATGGAACAAGCTGTGCTGGGAGTGTTACGTACCACCAGGGATCTTCGCCAACAGCTGTGCACGACCACAATGGAGCAAGCGGCTGATCTTGGACAGGTAACTAAAGCGGGTCAGGAACTTGTGTCAACGATCAGGAACGTCGCTCTGGCCAATGACAGATATCTTCTTCAAGAGAGCAACGAAAAATTTCGCGAATACATTGAACACATTCTCGAGGTAAGTGTTCCATCCTAAATCTCGGATTTCTCTTCCTTGAAACATTTATTCGGTTTGCCGGCGTTGCATGAAAACATTATTATTCAGAAATGCAACGTGTTTGAAAATAACGTCTCGTCGAAATTAATTTCCATCGATTTATTTAAGCGATATCGTCAACTCGATCGACAATTCACGTTTCTGAACGTATCGATTAACAGGTGTGCAAAATGTTGAGACACGTTGCGCTCTCGGAATCGTTGCAAGTTTCGGCCAAGTTTACCGAAATTAATCTGAGAATATACGGCCCGCAAGTGGTGACAGCGGCATACACATTAGCCAGACATCCCACCAGTAAAATCGCCAAGGAAAACCTAGAAGGTAAATTACGCGTAACGTATTATTATTAATCGCTTTGTTCACTCGTTCGTCGAACGAATTCATTGTACACGAGTAAACGTCTCCAAATCTTTCCATTTGCCATTATATGTATGTACGTGTAATATTTAGAGTTCTCGTTCAATTATTTGGAACACAGTGAAAGATCTCGGATTTCATTCGGCTATGCGTTTCAGTGTTTGCCGACATGTGGCAGTGGCTTATGACTGACGTAACCACCGTGGCAAAAGATGTGCTCGAATTGAACCAAAACCGACCAGAAAAACAAGTTTACATGTCCTTGCCACGACCTGGAGTGAGTACATTTTTCCGAAATCGTGATTTCGAATCGTCAGTAATCGGCTGTAATAATATATCTTGCTTGTGCATACATACCTTCTTTGCGTAACGATCAAAAACACGTCCGTTTATATCAGAAACACGGCACAACGAGCAAACCGTTGAAACCGGTAAAATTGGACAGCGAGGAGCAGGCCAAGATCGCGAAAGCGGGCCTGGAGATGAAGCTCATCACTTCGGAGATGGACGCGGAAACGGAGAAGTGGCAGGAGAGCGGAAGCGCCCTAGAGGAAAACAATGACATTGTGAAACGCGCTAAGAACATGTCCTCGATGGCGTTTTCCATGTACCAATTCACCAGGGGTGAAGGCGCATTGAAAACCACCCAAGATCTGTTCACCCAAGCTGAGTATTTCGCCGAGGAGGCCAATAGATTGTACAAGGTTGTGAGACAATTCAGCTATCAGGTATGTATCAGTTACTAAGGCAAGGTAGATTCACAGCCAAACAAATACATATTTTTTAATTGGTCTGATGTTGAGATGCTACGTACATATATACGTGTATGAGTACGTACATACGTGCCTGTACGTACACGTATACACGTACTTACATCACCCTTGTTTTACCATCATCTTCTACTCTTTTACTATTTTTTATTATTATTATTATTATCATTATTATTATTATTATTATTATTATTATTGTTATTATTATGATTGTTGTTGTTGTTATAATTATTATTGACATCATCATCATCATCATCATTGTCATTATCATCTACTCATTATTATTGTTGGTGTTGTTATTATTGTTATTATTATTATTTTTTGATATTGTTGTTACTGTTACTATTATCATCATCATTATCATTATTATTATTATTAGTATTATTATTATTATTATTATTATTATTTCAATTATTACTACTGTTACTGCTACTACTACTATTACTACTACTACTACTATTACTACTACTACTACTACTACTACTACTACTATTACTACTGTTACTACTACTACTACTGCTGCTACTACTACTACTACTACTACTACTACTACTACTACTACTACTACTACTACTACTACTACTACTACTACTACTACTACTACTNAATACTAATACTACTAATACTAATACTAATACTACTGCTACTGTTACTACTACTACTATTAATACTACTATTACTATTACTCTTATTATTATTGTTGTTATTTTCATTGTTATTATTATTATTATTTTTGTTGTTGTTATTATTGTTATTATTACGGATTCTATACTGGACTTGATTCCGAGTTTTTTGATCCTTGCTACATATATTGGAGATATTTTGAATATTTCGATTTCGCTAATTGAGTTTCGTTTTTACGTAATTGCTACGCTGGAGCTACGTCAAATCCAGATGAATTCGGTTCAGATTTTATTCCTTTTCTACTTGTGTATTCGTTTGATCGTTCGATATTTTAAAGACAAAATGGGCTAAAAAAGGTAGTATCGGTGTGCAGCGTTACGAATGGATTGGAGGTAGCTCGGGCGCGAGTTATTAGCATTAGACATGTTCGAATTAACACGTTTGCTGCCCTTTCGACCCTCCTAGCTAGGCCGAATATATATAGTTACCCGAAACCATTTTGATCTTTCTATACTCTTCTTGAAAGAAATCAAGAAAAACGCTAACCTTGTAATATATTCTTGTATTATGAAACCCTTTCTTGACCCTCGCTCTTTGAATGCCTCCATCCAGGTAACTCTTTCTCTCTTTACTTTAGACCCTTTTTGGGCTAATAGAGATCACGTTCGCCTTGTACAGATCGTTTTCATTGGCCGTGCATTATTTACCGCTCGTTTTTTCTGCGAATTCATTATCCATCAATTGCTGTTCAGTGTTATCGTGTTTCTCTTTTACTCATTACTTACTACACACTGTCTCTTTATTCGTTACATTACTTACTATACGCAACAATACTATGTGCTATGCAAGATCGTGTGATGATTTCACCTGTGGTATGATTTGTCATCCCAAAACGTCGTCGTTTCTTTCGAATGGCCTGGTCCAATTACACCCAAATACTTTTTGTTTTCCTTTCGCCCTCTGAAATATAGAAGGCACGTCATAAAGGAACGACGTTTTCTTTTCTTTCTTCTTTTTTTCTTTGAATTTTTCGCGGCGAAGGATTGCGCAAGCAATTAGAAAATAATTTTCGCTATTCGTTCGATCGAATACCTTGAGAATAATTCTTTACTCTTCCTAATTGGAAATTCGAAATTTGGAAACTCGACAAACTCGCGTGTTTTATATCGTCACATATAGAATAGCATAGAATAGAAGGTACGATAGGTATGCGATAGGTCATTGTATTTTACTTGATGATGAAAATTTAAAATGACGAAGAATATTGGAAATGTTCGTTGTTTAAAACATGTTTGTTGAACTATAATTCAGTTTATAGTACATTTTTATGTTTTTTTTCTTTTTTTTTTTTTTACGTTCGCTACGAAAACGTAAGACGTGTCTAATTTTATTGATCAAATAATCAAAACTTTCTTCTTTTCTCTTTCTCCTTTTTTTTTTTTTTTCTTTGATAATGCAGCAGGAACGTGACTCTCATTTTGAAGCGTAGACATACCTCTCTCACGTTTCATACCACCAAATCAATTATAATTATTATTTTTGTTGGTAAAATCTATTTTGTGTACGTACATTTACGACTTTTTTGTGTACGATTAGTAAGGTGTGTTTTAGATGCTACGGGAATGCTTCCGTCTGTGGACGACGTCTATGTGCATTGTGGTCCCCCTCCTTCCACTATCTGGGGCATGACTATTATGTCTCAGTTTTTGCCAGCTTCCGATTCGACCCTTTTTTACACTTTATTCTCGAACAGCAGTTACAACGAATCTTTACTCTGTCAGGATTCTGATCGTAGGAAAGATCGTTCTGCCTCGTTCGTCGGGAGGAATTAAAATTCTTCAGACGCGCGTCGGATGTAACCTGTGTTTTATTTGAAATTATTCTATCGCCGAAAGTGATGCGATGTGAAATATTTGGTTTTCTACGAGAAACGTGCGATGATTTACATTACAATCGAAGCAAATACGTCTTTGTTTCATTTCACTTTTTTTCAAGTTCGTTTTAGCTGCGATCGTTTGAGACAAAACATATCGCTCAATCTTAACTATGGTTACGAACGGTCGCTCGAGAAGCTTGCAAAAACGATAAGGTCTGTACTAATTCACTGTCATTCACACAGTCACTCTCTCTCTCTTTCTCTCTCTTTCTCTCTCTCTCTCTCTCTCTTTCTCTCTCTCTCTATCTGTCTGTCTATCTATCTCTAATATTCTCAAACAACTGACACTTTATTTTCAAACTTGCATTGTGTTCTATTAGGACGAATAGAAAATCTCTTTTGTTAACTTTACTAGATGCAATTTTTTCTGAATATCCAAGATATACGTATATTAAAGTATTTATTATACTAGTCAATCGATAAAAGATAGAATCAGGCATTGCTTTTAAAGAGTTATTCGACTTTACGCTACATACGTAAAACGATGATTTCGCAGGGCAAATGTGATTGGTGGTTTCCAACGATTTTTCAACAATTTTTCAACAGGAAGAATGTTCGACAGAGATAGTATCGTGTAAAACATTGAAAATGCCACAATTTCATCGAATCGTATTCTACAATCCAATCTGCTCATCGAACATGTTGTTTTACTAAAACGATTACGCGCCTTCGATAAAGTGAAAAAAAAAAAAAATTGCGCATAAATAACCCTACTGTTAAAGCACGATTCAACGTCAACGAATTGAAACCTTTTACTAAATGTATAAAATAAAAAAGGATACTATGTGCATCTATTGGTAATTTCGCTAAATTCGCACAGCAATAATACAGCGACTAAATTTCAAATATCTGATTAAATCGTTGGAAAGGAACGACGATCACGTTTGCTTCGCGACACGAACAAAGACGTAAGATTGTATACGATGTTGTATGGGTGCAGGTACCAGGGGGTCCGCACAAGAAAGATCTCTTGGAAAATCTCGACCGTGTGCCAACGTACGTGCAACAACTTCAATTCACCGTGAAGAATCCGACCGTCGGGAAAGCCGCCACTTTCACCAAGGTCGATAACGTGATACAAGAGACGAAAAATTTAATGAACGTGATTTCAAAAGTGGTCACCACGTGTTTCGTCTGCGCCACAAAGGTAAGATACACGCCCGCGCGTCACTTGATCTTGTACCTCTACGACGCACAAAGAAAATCCGAGCATCCACTACACCAATTTACCCGTTTTTTAGTCATATTACGATTTTGTCTTTTGTTTAGAGTTTCTCTCATTTTTTACCCTTTTGTTCCTTTTTCTTTTTTTTTTTTTAATTTTCCCTCTTTTCAACACGTGTGTTCAGTCTTTCGCAGCGTATTTTAACCAAGTAGATTTAGTACGATTCGATCAGTGTCGAGTAATCGGGGTACACATCGCACGTAGTATACGTGTATTTTGTCCGTTTGACGAATATTTTCGAATTAGTTGGTTGAACGAAGGAAAGAAAGACTGGACGGTATTTTTTTTTTTTTCCTTTTTTTCGTAGCTAGCTTTGCCACGGCAAAAGATACGTACTACGTTTGAATTTTTACGTAGACGTCTAGTTGTATGTGAGATTCCAAGAATCTCGTGAAAAGATTTTATTTCTGTGCGAATATTTGCCTTTGCAAGATGGACACCGATCAATACCGACACGCATCTTCTACCGTTGATGATGATTTTGTAACGTTTGAAAGGTCTGCTGTACTTTTGGCATTGAGCAGATCATTCGTACGCACCTTGCTCGTTCCAATATTAATATTAATATAATTCTTACTTGCGGCAGATTTGAAGTTTCTTTGCCTCGTGAAAGCGAAAGTGAAAGTGAAAGCAAATATTCGCAGAAACGAGTTACTCTATATACGTGTAGTGTTATCTATGTATTACATAGCATAGATATAGCGAGCGAGGCAGTAAAGTGTTGTACGTATCCTTCCATGTATTCGTCGAATAGCACAATATCACGATGCCGCAGTACGTGGAGCTGAGCCCGACGATACCTGGCCTAGCTGAAGAGGATTGCTTGTATCCAGTTAGTCCCCAATTGTTACCATCCATCAGTCCCTACGTGCAACCCCATCCGCTGACCACGGCCCAGTTACACGGTATACTAAGAGTTCCGAATCTGGGCTTCCCACTCCTCAATTACAACAACCACACCCTGCCAAATTCCACCACTTCCAGCGACACTGTTACACGCAGCTCCGCATCCTTCGTTCATCCATCGGTCCTTCCATACTCGAAACCCGTCGCCGCCAATTCCTCCTGCGGACCGCAGGCTCCATATTGCCTGCAGAATCTACAAATGCTGCAGCTGCAACTGCAACAGGCACAGCTGCAGCACCTAAGACACGCCACATTGCCGAGATAACACAGACTTTTGTTCGCACCTCCAAGGTCGCACGTGTTCTTCACGCACAGCTACAGAAGCGCTCTTCTTTCCGTTGCACACAGGTTCGACTTTCGTTTTTTCTTTTGCGTTTTCCCTTTCTTTTTTCTCACGTTTCTCTCTCTCTCTTTTTTTCTTCTTCTTCACTCACAATCAGTCAGTCAGCTTCTCGTCCCGCTGCTTTTCATTCGCGCTATACTGCCGAGATGATCGAACTACGATCGATCGAGGGACTTTTTCCATTGTCGAGAGCTCGTCTGTAACTCTCTGGCGCTTCCGGATATAACGATCAGATACACATACGTACGTGTCCATCTAGTTCAGACCATTTGACAAATTAAGTCCAATTGTTTCATCTTGGACAGTCTTCGATCGATCGTCTTCGCGTCATTTGCGCGTTCGATAAACGCGTTTCCCCTTTTTTCTTTCGCGCCGCTTCTTCTCGCCGCGCATTTTACGCGTAGGCTTTGTTTTATCATTCGAAATAAATTTGCTCGAGTTGTTTTTCTTACTGTACTAGCTACCGTTGCAGACGTTTTTCTCATTGTTTTTCAACAGCTTCGCTTACTTACGAGCTACATACTTACTTATTGTATGTACGTGGTGGCGATACTCGATGGTGGTAATCCACGGCACCAAGAGAGGAACTTTTAATCAATCTAATTTCCTGTTTTCAGCTATCTTTACAGGAATGGCCGCAATAATACGTGTAACTTGTTACTTGTAACTTATTACTTGTTTTTGCTCCAAATTGATGTCAAATCTGACACACTATAAATTGCAGAATATTCTTAACGCTTATTTTCGTTTTTTATAACGTATTAAGATATCGTAATTAACTTTCATTAGAGTGACAGTTTTATCGTAAACTTTTTTCCAATCACCCATTTTTTTTTTTTTTTTTTTTTTTTTTTTTTTTTT